AATTATGGATGTTTTAACAACTGAAGAAGCAAAAATGCATATGGATTCCCCTGCACTGTTACCCGTGATTTCAGAAGCAGAATGGGACAGAAAGCCAAACAAACAGTAACTGTTGTCCATCAAGGCTAGGCTGGAAATGCTTCACTGAACTTTGCCTGTTTGCATGCCAAAGCTTGGGGTATTTGCTCGGTCTTTTTAACAAGTGAGCCTCTGCACAGCTGAGTGTCTCTCCCAGTTGTGCCCTTCCATGTGGTGGGAGCACTGGAAGCGGGAACATGGTCACAGAAGCGCAGCGCAAGCTGCGGGACCTGCCTCCCCTCCCTCCCCACCCCTGTGGGGCAGGAATCCCACCCCTGTGGGGCAGGAATCCCACCCCTGTGCTGCCTCAGTGGCACCTCGCTCGGGTCTTTGACCTTGTGCCTGGGGCATAGCTAAAGAAGGCAACCCACTGGGACCTCCTCGTCCACCCCCACCTTCTCCCTTGGGGATCTCCTGGGAAGTGGGTACTGGCTCAGGCTCTGTTAACGTTCACATGCTGCCTGCTCTGCTGTGTGTGTGTGTGAGGGGGGCTGCAGTGCCAGCTGCTCGTGCAAGGCACCAGAGCAGTATTCTTTGCTGGACACCAGTGGTCAGAATGATGGTGATCACTGATGGCAGAGATGGCACTCAGCTTTGGTTCTTGGGCTCAGCACATTTGGCTGCTGGAGGGAAGACCAAGACAACAAGGCAAAAATACTTCTTTTTGCCATGCTAGAGGAATCTGGTGGCTTTCACACCCTGAAGCTGTTCTCTGGGCTTTGCTCTGGAGATGCCATTCTGGCATGATGAGAGCTGCAGGAGGGTAAATGAGTTTTAGTGCTCAGCTCTGAAGAAACCAAGCCCATCTTTGCTGTTTCTTTTCCCTAAAGCAGGGGGACTGTGGGCTTGGGTTGTCTGCTGATGGCAGACAGTGTGCTGATGGCTTCATGTGAGTGGGTGTTGAGCCTGTCCAGTGGGGAGCTTGCAGAGGAACAATAATATCTCCTTTTTGATGAGGGCAGTACCCTGTGGTGGGCTGGCATGTCAGGCAAACTTTGGATTTGCTGTGAGAGGAGGTGTGATGGTGGTTTAGGGAAGCAGGTTCATGGAAGGACCACTCTCGCTGCTCATGTGCACACGCATCCATGTATGTGCGCATGGGAAGGGGTTAAGGGTGCGGGGCTTGCTCAGTACTGAAAAAAACCAGGTGAAATGGGGGATCCTTTTACAGATTTTAACTGCCTCGAGGGGGCTGTAAAGCAGACGAGTCCAGATTCTTCCCAGAGGTGCACAGTGAAAGGCAATGAGCACAAGCTGCAGCAAAGGGAATCCCTGTCTGGACAAAAGGAAAAATATTCTTCCCCAGGGTACTGGATTGCCCAGAGAGGCTGCAAAGACTCCAGTGTGGGAAACGTTCAGCCTAGAGCTGGACACAGCCCTGACAAACCTGATCTAGTTTGGAGTTAGCCTTGATTTGAGCAGGAAGTTGGACTAGAGACATACAAGTGTTCCTACTCACCTTGACTCTTCTGTGAGCTTATGACTTGTTTGCTGCCAGCCGAGGCAGGATTTGATTAAGCAGCCCACATCCAGGGTCTTAGGGCCAAATGCCAGTCCCATTTTCCAACCCCTTTTTGCATCCTTTAGGAATAAAGCCAGACACTGTTCAGCCAACTCAGACTGACTGAAACCCTTGTCCCTAGTGAGGACAGGGTGGTCAGACACTGGAACAGGTTGCCCAGGGAAGTTGTGGATGTCCCCTCCCTGGAAGTGTTTAAGGCCAGGCTGGATGAGGCTTTGAGCAACCTGGTCTAGTGGAAGGTGTCCCTGCTGATGGCAGGGGGGGTGGGACTAGATGATCTCTAAGGTCCCTTCCAACCCAAACCATTCTATGACAGTGTTAACAGCTTCCCCACCCACCAGTCAGGGGGAACAGAGGACAAACATTCACTCCAAACCAGGGTGAGATGCACCTTTTGTTTGTTTTAGTGATGAGGAAGGACTGACTAGTTTTTGCTCCATATATTCAGTAATGCAGAAAAACCAGGGGCAGGCAGGCAACGCTACATACTCACAGAGCCCTGAACACTGGGAAGTACCCAATGTAATGCAATTATTCAATGTAACAAAGAACCAAGGGGTGACTCGGGAAATTGCACGCTGTGGCTAGAGGACAAACCAAAGACAGTTACTCTGGTAAAACAGGGAAGATTTTCTGGACCCACTTAACCAAGGTCAACCTACTTTGTAGTGCGGTCATATAGAAGAGCTCGTGGTGGTGCCTGGAGCAGGAGGGGATGGCGGCATCCCTGGTGTCCTAGTTTCAAAACCTCGCTCCTGAGCTCTGCAGAGGACAGAGACTGTGCTTAAACATCGTCCTTGTCTGCATGAGTGCGATGTGGAAGCTCCCCTGTTAAATCTCCATGCTGTACAGGGATTGTTTTGAGTTCCCCTCTAGAAGAAAAAAATTACTTCTGATACCAGGAACCCACAGCATTTTTACAACCCGAGAGATAAGATACAATGCCCAAGGGCTCCCTTCCACACAGGGCTCCCTTCCAGCCCTACGTGGCCCTGAGTTGATAGTACATCAGAACAGAAGATAGGTAACGGGGCAGTAACACATCCTCGTACAAGCCCTTCTTATCATAGAATCACAGAATGGTTTGGGTTGGAAAGGACCTTAAAGCTCATCCAGTTCCACCCCCCCTGCCATCAGCAGGGACACCTTCCACTAGACCAGGTTGCTCAAAGCCTCATCCAGCCTGGCCTTGAACACTTCCAGGGAGGGGGCATTCTTCTACAAGTATTATTTCTCTCTGATTAAAACCTCACATAGAGGTTATTTTTCTCCACATCTGACAAACCTCTTTCTTTGTACTGGGCTCAAGATGTTTCATGCCATGACCTGTAGCATAGCGGAGGGCAAAATGCCCTCCTGTGAGCTTCTCCTCTCAGGTGCATCGCCCTTCATGACAGCTGCAGGTTTCCACATGTTGGTGGAGGGTAGCCACAGATGCTCTTTGTGTTGCATCCTTCAGAATGATATGCTGGGCAAGGGGACCTGCCAAAGTTGGACCTAGACAGAGACACAAGCATTTTGAGGTCTCAGATGCCCATGAGGAGGTGGTCTAAGAGTGGAAGTAGACAGCACTTGTTGGAACCAAATTATGCTTTAATTCTGGATTTCCTTACCTTGGATGCCTGCCACTGCAATCTGTTTATACATTGTTTAACCTCATGCATTACAGCCCAGCGACTCCCCCATTTAAAGGGTTGGAGATTCTAATTTTTGCATGCTCCCACAATAAATATTCTTGGTACCACCAGGGTATGGTCACCCTGCCTTGCGAAGGCCAGAGGTATGAATGGCACATCGTCACTGGAGATTTAGGGATCCCCAGAATAATTTAGCAAATGGAGAGTAAAATTATAAAATCTTTTAAGACAGGCTATGCAGTTAGTGTATTTAATGGTATAGTTATATAACTAATTCCACGTTCATTTATGTTTGTTAATTATAAAGGTCTTCTCCAACCTAAACGATTCTGTGATTCTTATTAATAGTTAACAATTATATATTGTTATATTGCTATAACTGGCATGGGAAAACATTAACAATATAAAAGCAGAATGGGTAAAATATGTACGTGTTTTTGTTAAAAAGAAAAAATTTAATGGATTTCCAGCAAAAAAAGCTGTTTTAATTGTTTTCAGTGAAGATGTTTATCACAGAGGAGGTTTATGTTTCTTTCTTTTGCATCTGTTTTGCCTTTCCTATTTGTTCCTTTCCCCCCCAACACTGCAAAAACAATTTTGAATTTTGAAACCAGTTCTCAGTGTTAAATAAGCTGGTCCCAGTTCATCGGCCCAATAACAGAAGCCTCAGGAATTTGCTATGGCATTGACTAGTCTAAACTGGGAGCAAAGTTTAACTTCTCTACTAAACAAGCTGCTACTGAAGTTGAAATTAAAAGTCTGTTTTGCTCAGAGACCCAAACTTAAGTTCTCCTCAAAACTACTAGAGGGGAAGTTTAGCTACTTTCAAAACAACTGCATATTTATGTGTTTTGGAAGCAAATAACATTCTTGTCATTCTTTGGAATATCTATCAGAAAAAAAAAAAAAAACCTGCTGAAGAGGGCTGGAACACACAGCATAGGAGGAGAGGCTGAAGGAGCTGGGTTTGTTCAGCTTGGGGAAGGGAAGGCTGGGGAGGTCCTACAGCCATCTGCAACCACCTAACAGGGGTTATAGACCAGGCAGGCTCTTCTCACAGGCACAACGAAAGGATAAATTGCCGTGGGCACAAGCTGCAACAAGGGAAACCTTGACTGGCCATAGGGAAAAAATTCTTCCCCATGGGAGCAGTGCAGCCCTAGGAAAGGCCCAGAAAAGTTGAGAAGTCTCCAGCCGGGGAGATACTCAGACCTTGACTAGATATGGCCCTGAGCAATGTGACCTAGCTTTGGGATTAGCTCTGCTTGGAGTCAGATAACTCCAGAGGTCCCTGCCCATCTAAACTCTGCCCTGAGTCTTCAGAACAAAAAAAAATAACTTTTACACTATCAGCTGATAGAAAACAGATTTCATAAACTATTACATTTATCTCACTGTAACCAGGCATCCACCTAGAAGCTTTCCCAGACTGTTTGTACCAAACCCACATCCAAAATCCCTTCACCTTTTGCTCAGGTGCGTCACTAAAGGATGGTCTGTCCTAAGAAGACAGCAGATCTTCTTAGGAGGAGATCTCATAAGCAGCTGTCTTACAAATAAGAAGTTTATCCTTTCATTAATCCTTGATTTCAAGAAGATGCTAAATGCCAAGTCCCTCTAGCACTGTGCTGGAAGCCTTTCAGTCCACATCATTCCCTCAGAGCAAGAGGCTGGCTGTGTAGGCTGATGGCTGTGCCACTCCCAGCCCAGCCACAAGAGATGTCCCTTGCCACAGCTCAAAAATGCTCAGCATGGCCCCCATCTCAGGGGCCTTTATGGTGCCATCACCCTCCTACCTTGGGAGTTCCACACTGGGAAGCTATCAGGTCAAAATCGTGTGGCCCCCAGGCTGACTGCACCAGAAGCAACTGCTTCTGCAGCGATTTCCTAAAGCCACCCAGGGCTCTTGCCTATTTGCATCTCTTCCATCTATTTTATGCCATGTGCCTTTCTCTGTGCCTGCTTCCCTGAAAACATCACCCCAGGGTTCCCTGAACAACCACAGCCCTCCTGGCAGAGCTGTCAGCAGAGGTCTGTGCCGTAATTATACACTGGCCCCTCCAGTCCTATTAGCAAAGCTAATGATACCTCACATCAACCTTGGGCATGTCTATATCAAACAGGAATGGAGGTGGGAGGTTATTCCAGATTCCTAAATCACATCTAGATTTCTAGTAAGGTTAGACAAAAGCAGACTTGAGTTAAACCTTGGGGAGAGGAAATGTGGATGTGGAGCAGTGCCCATGCTGACAAGAGCAGCGTGAGCTGGTGCAATCCATTTTCTGGGGCTCTGCCTGAATCATTAATCAGGCATTATCTTAAGACTGTTCCCAAGGTCCTAACCCCATTACCAGACTGATGAGATTCTTTGCCAAGGGAGTGACTTGGGCAAGGCATCATGCTCTGTTGGCCTTGGTTTCCAGAGAGGCTGCAGCTCTAGACATTGAGGTGCCTTGCAGCACTCCTGTGCCTCCAAAAGTCAGGGAGATAACTGACAGAGAAAGCAGACAAATGCCTCCAAAAGTGCCAACAGAATTGTGCAGCAGCATTGTGAAGGCAGTATCTCTGTGGCCCAAACACAAGTTTGGAGAACGTTTTGGGTGATTAGTTGTAGAGCAAAAAGCTGGTTCTTTGATGCAGAGCACCCGTGCAAGATGTTCATGTGCCATCCAAAATACATCTCATTTTGCTTCTGTGTTCAAACAAGAAACATCTTGCTGAGCAAATAGTCTCTGTGGGATTACAAAGCACATTACTTAATCACTTGTCCATGTAAGCACAAAAAGCCTTGCGCTGGGAAGGAAGTGTTTGTACCTGCGCCCACCCTGCTTGTGGAGGCACTGTGAACCCAAACAAACCTTTAGGATGCCTCATTCCCTCTCCTCCTCCTCTGTTTTCTGAACTTTGAGCATCTCCGCTCAATAAACCCTTTCTGCATCTTTCTGCACTCAGGGTTCAGACCAGCTGACCCATCACAGGGCTCACATGTGGGCAGCTCTAAGCCATGGGATGTTCCCAGTGACCAGCCAGAACCCTCCAGAGTGAGGACAGGAGTCCCTGCGAGGACGCACACCCTATAGCAGCCATGGACTCAAACAAACAAGAAGGTAAAGCATCCTCTTATTTCACTTCTTGATAAGTCTGAAAGACAGCAAGGAAGAAACCTACTCTCATATGACCTGTCTGTTGGCAGCCGCCAGCCAACCTCCCCAGAGCACCTCTTAGCCATGGCAGCTGTGGGCAAATGTCCCCTTCTTTTAGTTGCATAGAAATATCTGGGGTTTGAAGTTTTTCCCTCTTATTTTAGAAACACCTCCCTCTCCCCTCTGGAAAATAATCCTGTGGCGTATGTAACGTCCAACATGGGAAGTCATTGCCATTTTTTGCCTTGGACCCACCTCTGCCTTGGGATGTACAGAGACTTATAACTGTCAAAAGCTATGTCTTACCCGAGGGCACTGTGACAAGGATCTGCTTCTGTCCCCCACATGCTTTGTTACAAGGGGTTCTTGTCTGTGTCTCTGCCACAACCCAGACTTCTGCATCAGTCCCAATCTTGCAAGCACCAAGATGTATCCAGGCCACACTGCTTGCATGCAACCAGTCCTGCTACAGTCAGCAGCACTTCTAGAAATTCTGCAAAGCTCAGGGGTTTCAGGTCCAGGGTTTTAGTGGTTATTTGCTTTAGATGTTCTTACAGAGGAATGTGGAGATGGTGGTACTTGCCTTCTACCCCAAACCCCTTGCAGCACTGCACTCTGCCTTGCCACCTCAGAGGTGACTGCATCCACATGCTGAGGAACTCTTGAAACTATGAGGAGCAGGGGGAACAGCTTTAGGAATGTCCATAACTGCTCAGGAGACAGCCTGGAACATCTCTTTCCCTCTTAAAAGATGCTTGGTGGTGCCAACATTCATTCATGGCATAGGTAACAGAAGAGTTAATTTCTCTATTATTACAATTCTAATTTGACTAAATTAGATCTGTGTACCTAGGCCCCTGCACGACAGCAGGCTGGAAAGGAAATTAACTCAGGGATTTTTTACAATTAATTGGTATGCCCCCATGGGCTGCAGACGTTCACTGCAGAAATTGGGAGATAACCACAATGCCCCTTGCTTCCCACAGTGCAGCTGTGAGGAGCCTCCTCTGCTCCAGCTCTTAGCAGTGACTTTATAGAAATTATCTGAGTTTTGAGTAGGTAAGTGCAGCGAGTGCTTCTGCTCACGCTCATAGCAAAGGTGGGAGGTAAAATCACAGTAGCAGGGATCCTTTCCCCTCTTCTGGTCTTGCTTAGGAGCAGTTTCTCACTTTGAGTGTGTCCAAGGACATTACAGACTGATCTGTATCCAAACCCAAATGAAAGATCCATACAGACTTCTGCAGGGCTTGGGTTGAGCCTTCTATGTTCTATATCAGATTGAAAAACACCCAAAGAAAATGTGACGAGAGACCATGGCTATTCCTTGCTGCACCTCGCTTCTAACCTGACACTTCTAGTTCAGCTCACAAACCTCAGCATTCAATACATCCACTGCTCTGCAAAATCAGCATCTCCCTGTTTTCCCAGCATCTGGTTTGCATTGTGATATTAAGAAACACATCCTCTTGCTCTTTTTGGGTAAGTCATTCCCATCCCACAGTAAGAGTCCAGCAGTAACTTCTACATCAGAACAGACACGTACCTCAGTTTTCTTGATTCTGGAGGACTGCAGTACACACTAACTGCCTTCTCAAGCCCCAACTCCAGGCATCATGACAAAGCTTCATCACGTGCTTTAGGCCAAATGTTGGTTTCTAGTTTGTGGGGTTGCAGAGAAAAACTGGAAAAAAAAAAAAAAAAAGACCCAGAAGGGCTAAAAGCTGAAAATGAAAATCACCTGTCATTTAAAAGATGAAACTTGAGGCTTGGTGCAGTCTGGCTTATGAATTTTGACCCCAGGGTCATGGTTATTCCTCCCAATCAGCCTGTTGCCCCTTGTTTTACCCAGGAGGACCCTCGGAGGGTATTCCCCGGAGGGTCAGTGTCTGACCCTGCCACCCAGCCCCACAGCTGTGAGACCAGCCAGCATGGGCAGAAAGTGGCCTCTCCTCCTCTGCCTCTCACTTCTGCGAGTCGCCAGGGAATTTACTCACATTCCTCTGAATCAGGACAAATCCTAGAGACCAGAACAGGGCCAACTCATAGGTGCCCTTGGCAGTAACCCATATTCCCCCTCAGGGGTAAAGAAATCAGAACATAGCTGTGCCTTGTAAAGCTCTGACTTCCAGGCTTCAGTTTTCCACTTCACACACTTGCTGACTGCCTAGAGTCCTCCCTGCACACTTTTCAAGCCTCTGCAGGACTGAATTTCTGTGGTCTGAAGGCCCAGGTGGGTAAGGCACTGAGCATCTGCAGCCAGCCTGGAAAGAGGGAGCTTGGATGCCCCTAGAATTGGGGGCATGGGGATCACCAGTCATGTCTGTGACCGACAGCAGAGATGGGTGAAGCAAATTCTTGGAGGTAAAAGAAAGACCCACCTCATGAAGTGCCATTGCCAAGGGGAGGTGATCCAGACAAGAAACTGGGTGGCATAGTGTTTTCTGGGAGTGAAGGCCAGCCAGGGAACCTGATGAGGGGAATAACATGGGAACCGGTGGCCACTGAACTGCAGTTCCCTCAGAGCGCAATGGTGGCACAACCAGCCATAATTTCTGTTGGGTAATTGAAGGTTTCTGCACAGAAGAGACAATGTTAGAAGATGAAATAATAAATATAGACTTCTTGGTTTCAATTAAGAACCCACTAATGCCTAATGTCACTGCAGTGTCCAAAACACTTGTGCAAAATAGATATAAGCTAAGCTCTTCTATGAGATAAGTCTCTTTCAGAAATGTTAAGTCTAGCTCCATTGTACAAGATCAGGTGGGATCATATTGCCACAAAACCCTAGTAATTTAAAACTGATGAAAAGATGTATTTTTTTGGTAACTTGGGGCTTAAAATATAAGGATCAGATCAGCCTTTCATGGAGATAACAGAAATAGAAGTGGAGAAAATTCACAGTTTCAGAACAGAGATGGATCATTAATGCTTTAGGGGAAAAAATTTACACAGAACTGAACTTCACAGGGAGCAATTTAGTCCTAATTGGACATACAAGGTTTCTCACCTCTTCGCATGCATCAACTTTGGACAGACACAGGACACAAAGGAGGTGAATTTAATGTCTGCTTTAGGTGAGCCATTCCTGGTTTATAATTGCAGTTTATTTTACAAATTATAATGGTGTTCACACCTCCTAAAGTGAGACTTGAGTCCTTTAAAACTGATTTGTACCTCAAGAGGGACTTCAAACCCTCTGTTCCAGTTATTTATAGCAACCATAATAAGTCATTTTAATTGACTGAAGTTCTTTATTCCCACAGGAGAGACTGAAAGTGTGCCTGTGAGTACCCCTGCAACACAGATTTCCCAGGTAAAGATGAGCAAAATGCCCTAAAAAACTCACAAGAGTTTAAAGAGTTACTAATAGATAAACAGTAGTTAAAAAGCTAAATTAAGTGGAAGGAAAAATGTAGGCACTTAGAAGGAACATGGCAACTAAAATGTGCACACTGCATGAATAAATGTCACACATACCACATCTTGGGCCTCATCTTAAAAGACACTTCAGTAAAATTTCTCTGCTCACAACCAGTTGTGTTTAGGCAGGGGATTTGTGAGCTCAGCTAATTAACTAGCTGGCATCATTAGCACAAGTTAGAGAATGTCAAATCACTGGGCTGGAGGGAGATTTTATGGCCAAGCTCTGATGAGCTTTCACCAAACCCGATGCACTGTCCCAGGAATAAGGATCTGTTGACTGACATGGGGCGGGGGGCCAAGTCTCCTGGGGGGCTCTGAGTCATCCTGGCAGCCTCACAGCTCCTTGGACCATGGGGTGCTCTTCTTGCCTGATGATCCAGAGCAGCTGGGCTGGCCAGAGCATTGAGTCTTGATGCCTGTCTCTGTCTGGCTCCCCAGCCAGGAGCTTGGAAACCTTGTCTTTGAGCTGATGTTGGCTCAAGGTGATCAGGACTTCCAGAGCTCTGCAGCCACTCTTTGAGTTGACATTCTTGCTGCAATTAGCCACCATGGATGCAACAAGATTGTCTGTACCACAGCCCAGAGAGCATCCTTCCTGTAAGATGCAGTTTCAGTGTTTCCACAGCGGTGTTTCCTAAGCATTTCCAGTCTGCAGGAAGCACAACAGAGTTGTGAGCACTTTAAACCTTGGCCTCATTCAATATGGAACTGTACTCTGAAACAGAAACACACCCCTGAGCTGGAAACCCTGACTATTTGAGACCTCCCTTGTCACCATGGCAACACTAATGCCCATAATTGCTTCTGAGTGCACCATGGCAAGCGGAGAAGATACTGCTTTCTGTTAACTAGTCAGTGCTTCTCATCTCATCGTCTTTTGTGAAGGGCCCAGCACAGTGGATCCAACACGCATAGTGCACATGCTGGGAACACTGTGTGCACGTGTTGCTTTCCAGAAAACTCAGCTGAGATGTGGATACCTTAATGAATCCTTTAAATCAAAGTTCCCAGCTGGCTGTCCCCTTCTGCTTCAGCAGTTATCAAAAAAGACTGCACAGATGTGAAACAAGAGCTGATAAATGCTCACAACCCCCTTCAAGTATCTCTATCCTTCTCTTCTCGCCTTTCCCTGCTGCTCTGCCTTTATCCCTACCATCCTTACCTAGGAATATAAATGTTGGATATACTCCTAGGGCTAGGTTCTCTACCACTGTAAATCAGCTCTGCTGCTTTCCTGCTACGAGGCACTGCAAGCCTTCCTTAGGCTTGGCTGTAGAAATGCTGCCCTTAAATGTAGGAGTTAGTAGCTGTGCTAGAAATTAGTTGTTTCATGGTAAAAGCACTCGTCAGGCAGCTCCAAAAAGTCAGATCCAGGCTTTGTGGCAAGTGTTGGAATTTGTGCCAGATTAGTTTTGAGCAGTGTTCTCAGGCAGCCCTCTTTTGGGTGACACAATGTTGACTTCCTTCTTCAGATCAACCACATAAGAAGATGTACAAAGAGATAGACAGTAGATAAGCCAGGGGAAGTAACACAGACAATACTCCTTCGTGGCCACAGAAGGTTTTGCTCTTGTCTAGGATATATTTCATAGAATCATAGAATGGTTAGGGTTGGAAGGGACCTTAAAGATCATCATTTATAACAGCAGAATCATTCCTGTGCACTATTTCTTCACCATGAGCCTCTTTTCTTCTGGTTTTTACAGGTCAAGGTCCCTGAGCGCAGGCTCTGTTCTAGTGTAAGGACCCTTGGCAGCTGCCAAGGGCAGCAGATGCAAATAGCCATCCCTTTGGAGACACAAAGCCCTGGACAGCCTGGCTAGTGCTGGGGGAGATATGTGGGGGCACAGCTACTCATGGAGGCAAGGGCAGTAAACCCAGCTCACCAAGGCTCTGCCCTCTGCTTTCCATCCCAGCTCTTCCTTCCATAAGCCATCCCTGCCTCCTGGCCACAACCATCTTCCCTGGGCTGCCTCCAAGTCTGAACAAAGCTTTAGTGGATGGTCACCATCTTTTGCAAATGGCTCAAACTGCTGGCACCCACCAAGGGAGGATGGGGAGGCTCTGCAGTTTTGCTGTCTCTGGTCCTGGAAGCAGCATCAGTCCTGTCCACACTTTGGGGACAGTATAGTGAGTACAGAGACAGGAGTAGAGGCTCAGCTAAAGAGATTTCATAGCCTTTCTATATATAAATATAAAAATAGCTCCACTCTTGCAAAGTAAAGTCAAAACCAGGCTGAGAAACATTCCTTGTATGTCTTCTGGTCTCACCCTTCTCCTCTCCACCATTATGTACTCCACATGGTCACGGTTCCCTTCTCCATGTTGAGAAACGCTTGCTTCCCTCTCCAGGTGGACTTTGACAGAGAGTTCATATTCCTGTTGGGCTGGAGAAGAAGTGAGAGTCACAAGTGACTGCTTCTCAGTGTCCTGTTAATCAGAGTCATGCAAAGCAGGGAGAAGAATCCTTCATTTTCCCCTGGGCAGCTAGCCACAGAGCACAGCACAGTTACTTGGTCTTGCTAGAGACTTTACTTGCATGGTTTTTCCCGAGAGAAGTGAAAAACATCAGGGCAGAAGGTAAAATGGGAGTCATGCCCCCAAGAAAGACATAATCTGCTACAGATGAATGGTGCTGGATCCCTCACTGCATTGCTTTGTCAGGTTTGAGGGCCTGACACTCCAAAGGCAGGTGGAAGCTGAAATGTGCGTCTCTTACTAGATTATTTAAATACTTAAATGCTTTTCCTCAAACAGTTCTTGGACAGGTTCTAAGGACTCCCTGTGACCATGCAGATTCATTTATCCCACAGGCATTAGGTAGTTCTACTTCAGTTGTTGAGGTGTGTTCCTCTTCAACTGTATTTATTCCCATGAATAGGTGAGCCAGGGCAACACGTTGGAGTTAAACTGTCGCCAAGTTTCCATGGTACTATAAAATCTGTCCTTTTTGGTACGTGTGGCACTTTAGAAACACTGAATTGGCTTGACTTTCCAGGGGTTCACAAACCTGTGAAATGTCTCTCTGGTCCTGTAGGCATAATCACGTGGGCAAGACATAAGCATGAGCTGATGCTTCAACAGCTTCCATTTGTTGTAACAGCCCATGGGATTTAAAGGACATTTTTCTATGGCTTGGTGTTAGAAATGAGCTTAAACTACAACCCACAGCTCAAGCACTACACTGCGCTTGGGAGGAGTTCAAAGATAATGTGTTGTTCCTGCTACCACTCCACTCAATTCTGGATCAAACATGCATCCAATGCCACAAGGCTGATTGTGTTTCGTTTCTAAGCTCTGAGAACTGATGGCAACAGAGGGAGTTCTCAGGGTTTCAGCACTTCACGTCCAACCATACAAGCCCTGGCAGATGTGGCTGATTCGTTTTGCTGGCTGCTTTCATCCATCAAGTGGCAACAAAGGGAAATGCAAGTGTAAGATGCATTTCAGTGTCTGAAATAGCAACTGCAAGCTGCATGGGGCTGAGGAAGGATGTACCGGGCAGGAAAGACCCAGGCTGGGGTTTGGAGCACTGGGAAGGATACACAAAGAAACCAGGCTAGCACTGTGACTTCAAAAGCAGAGATTGGCCAACAGTGAACCCCAAAATAACAAGTGACTGTCTGCTTTTAGATGTAGAGGATATTTCAGTCCAGCCTCTAGTCCAAATCTTTCTTTTGGCTGCCTGAACTCAGGTTTCACGAGCGTTTCGGTGCACATGGACACCAAAGTCTCTGCAATGGTCCTTCTTTGCTGACTTTTGCTGATGCCTATAAGTTTTTGACTCTGAAACCTCTATGTCAGCAATGACTCTCATCCTTGTACCCTTCACAAAGGATCTGTCTAGTGGAATGCTTCATTTCTGGAAGCATCTGAGGAGGATATGGCCAGGTTTGTGGGCAGAAACATTTCATTTTAGGCTTATTTTCCCTAGACATACTTATCTACAGGGCCAGCTTCTGTACTGCACCACTGCTAGCAAGACTTGAGGCTGTGACAACTCTATCCTGAAGCAGTTCTCTATAAATGGATAGCATAGGAAAGAATAGAATAGCATTTCAGTTGAACCACCCCTTTTCACTTGGAGGACAGCGTGTCATGATGCAGGCTAGCAGCGACACTCGGCCTCGACAATGTCAGCTCAATGTGGAAGAGTGGCAACCACCCCTGACCAGGGATGGGAACATGAACATTTTGCTTAGTGATAGTACTTTATATCCCCCCATTTCTCCAAGAATGTATGTTAGGATGTCTGATGATGCTAAGACCACCTGGCTCACCCCCCTAGGCTGAGATATCAACAACAGTATGGTCATTGCCACCCCTAGCAGCCATGGCCCTAAGCAGCCCCTCTAACCCTTCAGGCTACACTCACAAGTCACAGGGTGACAATTCCTGTGTCACAGGAAGGAGTTCACTGTGGCCAGGAAGGGTGGGTGAAGGGGTTGAACCAAGGGGTCTGGAACCCCAGCTGGCTCGGGGAGTCGGGGTTGGCTGCCTAAGGAGGGAAGATAACCTCAGCTTCCTGCTCCCCTCTGCCCTGTCCCATCTCCTGTCAGTCCTGCTCCTCCTAGCCAGGGAACATGTGTTCATCCAGACTGGACTGGGGACTGTGGGGTTAGCACTGGGGTAGGAGTGGGGATGTCAGGCAGACGTCCTCTGTAAAGACGCTGCCAGTCTTGATGAGAGGAGGATGGTGCATGCCATTGCCCCGAGGTATCGGAAGCCATCTCTGCTCCATTTACAGGACTCAAGCGCCTGAGTTCCCGGGGGTGGCTGTCCTCTTACCATCAGTGCTCCAGTTTTGGACTCAGTTTATAACCAGATGTTAGGCCGAATTTCTGTTGTAAAGGTAAAAACCACTGGTACCAAAGCGCCTTGGGCCGGGACCTTGCTGTGGGCTTTGTGCAGGCAGAACAAGCAGGCGCCTTGCTCACAGCCGTGGGGACAGAGTCCAGGGTCACCAGCCCGAGCTGCCCCTGAAGAGGGTGTCCCCCGCAAGCTGCTTGCCTCCCCTCGCTGCCCACCTCCACACCTGGCTTGTCTGCTTGCTATGCCAGCCTGGCTTGCCCTGGTCTGTCTTCTGCTTCGCCCGGCTATCAACCGGCTGCCTCCAGCTTAGGTTGTGAGCTCTTCCAGCAGCACTAGGGCTTCTAGGGACAGAAAACAGAGAGAATGGGCACAGTGTCGCTGTATGCCACGGGAAAACCTCCCACTCCCTCCCCATCACTAGATAAAGAGCTGCCTCCTTCCCTGGAAAGGGCCTGCTGACCAAGGACGGAGCTTCTCCACAGCCCCTGGGGAGCGAGGAGGTGTTAGACCTGTCTGGGGAAGAGCACCAGCCCCACGAGCACGAGAGGGAGGAGGACTCGCTCAAAAATGGATGTGTTCTTGATTGCTCAGCTGCTTTGGGGATTGATAATCTGGCTGCTGTCGCAAACCTTCTTGGCATGTTTCAGGCTGTCCTCTCCTTTTACAGACTGACAGACTGCAAACTGCCAAGGAGCCTGCAAAAACTCTGATTTTAAAAAGGGGCACATTGACTGCCCAAGACAAACACCTCCTACCCTGTACTGAGGCTGCAGCAGGGGCCAAACCTCCCTCCATGTCTCCCAGCCATGACAGGAGGAGGAGAAAGAGGACAGCACCTTACAGGATGGGTTACACCCAGCCTTCATGCCACTCTGAGCCATGGGTGACCCTCGGGGACACAGCCACCTGCATCTGAGAGGAGGGACTGAACCCAGCCCGTTTGTGGTTCCTCTAGTTGCAGGCGTTAGCCTCGGAGTTGAAGGCGGGTTTCACAGAAGCAATGCAGGAGCTGTCACGAATCCAGCATGGCGAGTACGCCCTGGAGGAGAAGGTCAAGAGCTGCCGCTGCGCCATGGAAGAGAAAGTGGCTGAGATGAAGAATTCCCTCAACACGTTCAAGGTAGGAGTGTGACCTGTGTGGGGGGCTGCAAACCTGCCACGTTAGCTCAGGTGGTGTGGGGCATCAATCCTTCCTGCCTGCAAAGAAAATGAGCTGGGGATTGTTTCAGATGAATCTGGTGCACCTCCTTTGGCTCTGTGTCTCCCTCAACTACTCCAACCCAAATGTAACCCATGCCCTGGCCCGTTTAGCCTTCTCCATGGGCCATGACACAGTGCTGCAAGCTACTCCGGGCACAAGCAACCCTCGCTCTGGGCTGCACGTGCAACGGGCACGCAGCCTGTTCACAGGTTCCTGCTGGGCCACTGTGCCATACCTCTCCCTGGGCCAGGTCTCCTGCATTTCCTGCAGGAACCAAAGCTGCTGGAGAGCAGGGAATTCACACTCAACCCTAAAGCCTTTTGAAGTTGCATTCCCACACGGCTGGGAGGAAGTGCTGCCTGGTTTGATCTGGCCCAAGAGGATAAAGACAAAGGACTGGAGAAAGAGCCTAGTAAGATGGCTTGATGTACACCAGCCAGTGTCTCCATGCAGAAACTGGATGACTGCCTGTGAGGAGGCAGGCGGAGGAACTGTTTTATTGTTTTTATGGTAAATTATCCCCATGGGGTTTTGCTGAGTCAATAATACCTTGTGAAGTTAAAGAGGGCTGCTTACTGGAAAAGCCTGTTACTGACCCTGTGACAGGGAGACAGGCGGCACCGGGCAAAAGGAGTCCCATGGTCCCAGATGAGCAAGGGGGACAACACAAGGTGTAAGGGCACATGGCAGAGGTCTCATAGCAACCAGAGGCAGGGTTATCCAGGACATTGTTATGGGGGAAAAAGGGGCTTTAAAATCCAGATACAAGGAATTACGCAAGCAACAGAAGCCTCCATCATGCCCATGTTGACTGACCAAATCATAGAATCACAGACTGGTTTGGGTTGGAAGGGACCTTAAAGCTCATCCAGTTCCAACCCCCCTGCCATCAGCAGGGACACCTTCCACTAGACCAGGTTGCTCATGTTGAGTTCCCTATGAAGCCACCTCCTTTTCTTGGGGAAAATCTCTCTCCTTTGATTTACAAGAAACTCTTGAGTCTCTCTCCTCCATCCCGCTGCTCACATTGATTAAACCTGATGGAATTTCATATGTAAGAGAGCTCTAGATCTGAGCAAGGCTTGGTTGGAACTGCCTGATGGACGATGTCCTGACAGGGACATTATGGACGGCCTCATTTCCTTAGGAAACCAGGCTAAAAAGGCAGCTCCAAGGCCTGACTGGCAAAAGCTCATACATGTGAGATCACACTGGGATCTGAACCAAGGATAACATGTGAACACATACACTGGAGAACTGGGTAGGGAAATGTGCTTCCTCAGGCCCACCTCCAAATGCCATTAAAGGCAGGAGTCCTCCCAGTTCTTTCAACTGGTGGTGGATGAAGCCCTGTGCCTCCATCTCCTACCAGTGCCTTAACCATGTGATATCACGTTGGCTTGGGTGAGTTGCCTGTAGCTGAATTAAGGATTGTCATGCCATGCATGGCATGGATTACACAGGCTGGACTTGCAAAGGAAGAGTGTCTACTCACCGAACCACTCCCCGCAGCACCCTGAAGCATCTCTAGTGCACACCACCAGCATTCACAGCTGTGCTATGTAAGGCTGGTGGGCACCCTAGGAATGCTGTGCTTTTCTTTCTCAGGAGGAACTCAGTGATGCCAAGTCAATGATTGAAGAAATCAGTGCCAAGCAGGAGGAGATGCAACAGAAAATTGAGCAGCTGCAGCAAGAGAAGAGGCGGGAATCACGGAAAGTGAAAGCTAAGTAAGGGCCCAAACCCCAGGGCTCCGGAAGTGCTCATTAGCAGTGGTGTCATTTCCTTATAGCTTAATTTCTTAATTGTTTCCTGGCTGGACATGTGTATCAACCCTGATTATTTCTGGGAGCTCTAGCCTTCAGTTCACCGCAGGCTTTTAGATGCATACCCCACAGAGCAAACACAGCAGAAACCCACCAACATCTCACTGGGATTCCAACAGCAGAATAACTCCAGCAAGGACCCGGTGGAACACACAGACCTGCTAGAGACATGCTGGGTCAGGAATATTGTTGAAAGTCAGAAGCCTTCACCATTACAAGCTATTGCTAAGCCACCCCTGTCCAGACAACAGCACTGCCATTTCCCCTTCCAAGTGTGCAGGACTCAGCAGGCTCCTGATGGTACAGTCATACTCTGCCTTCCTGTCACCAGCCTGTTCTTCTCTGAGGAGGGTCACTGCAGGAGCATGTTTGCACACTGCTGGGCCACACTGTTGCTGTGATGAAGCAGATGGCTCATCCACCTTTGCCCTGATTAGCCTCCTTCTGAAAACAGCGTTTTAATGGTGGGTGTACAGCTGTCTTGATGAAAACACTTTGCAAATCTGAGCCAGCTCCTTAGCTAATTAATCCATTTAATTAGAGAAAATATGGTCTGCAAAAGAACAGGTCTGAAATAACCTTCTCCTGATAGCCAGTGGAAGTTACTTCCAGAATGTTGCTCATGAACTGCATCAAAGCCAGCTCCATCAAAGCCAACTCCTTTCCTGGTCTCTGCTGGAGCTGTCCTACTTCTGACTCTGTGTTTGTATTTATACTGGTATCTGCAACAACTGTAGTGTAGGAGCTTCACCTGTAGCATTCATACTTTCCAACTGTCTCATTCTTTGTATTTGTACAGAAGAGCACAGAAGGATGATCATGGGTCACAGACAGTGCCTACGCCTCTCCAGGGCAGCCCATTTCGATCCATTAACCTCCCAGAACCTGTGCTGATCAATGAAGATTTTACAAGTCTTTTACACAACGTGACTTATGAAAAAGGTAGGAAATAGGAAAAAAATAAAAATAAATAAATCATCTAGAAAAAGGTCACTAGGGCAAGAGGACACCAAGTTTTCCTCAGGTGCAACAGCACCACAAAAAGAGAATGGGGGTGCTCCCCTTGGCAGCACTGCTTATGGGTCTGTACACGCTCCTTAGCACGGTGGCTCAGGAAAGCAACCTTGGCACTGGCCTGGATTCAGGAGATGCTGGTCTGTGAACACAATCCCAGAAGCCATTGCTTGCCTCCTCCAAGTAAAGGGAAGCAGGTTGGATCTTCCTCCCTTCTGTCCCTGCTAGTGGCACAGACACAGAGCCAGGCAGGAGCCCCTGATAAAAATATTACAGCCTGTGGATTTGTTTCTGTGCAAGGGAGCAGGGCACAGAAAGGAGGACTACAGGGATTGGGCTGACAGAGAACACCTGGTGTCTTTAAGGGACCATACCAGTGGTTGATTTGACAAGGGGACATTGGAGCTGGTACACATACACACCAGGCTACTGGTATCACTGCTCCTTGCATACACACACCGCTAGGAAAATCCCTGCCCCTTGTTTGTTAGCTGGGGAAGATGCTGGCCCATGGTGTTAGGGTTACACCTTGACCAAGAAAACACTGTCAACTGCTAAACAGTTGTGAAGATTGGAATAATATAAAAGGTGATGGACCAGATGGACCCACTAGCCAACATGCACCTACTGAGCAAGGACAAGTCAGGACTGCTCCTGTTCTTCTGCAGTCATACAGCACCAAGCAAGAGCCAGATGGACCAGTTGCTTTCTATTAACAACTTTGGTGGTCTAAACTGCTCTATCACTCTCTTGCTGTTCAGACAGGAAGACACTAGAAACTGATGTATTTAAAATGTCACCAAAGGCAGAGATTGGATAAAAACCATGTGCTGTTTTCTACCCTGTTCTGCTCAGAATCTGGCCAGTCACAGCCCCCCTCTGCCCTACTCTGAGGTGACATATTAGCCCTCTCCCTCACATCCCTCTTGTACATCTACCTCTCTCACCCCCTTCTCCCATTGCCCCTTTCTTTCCAGTTGTCTTACCTCTCCACTCTTCAATAAGCTCCTTTCCACCCAAAATGGCAGCCAGGTCTCCATCCTCTTGTTCTGCCTGCTGGTTGCCTTCTACCCAACGTGCACCTACTGAGCAAGGACAAGCTGAGACTGCTCATATTACTCTGCAGTCATATAGCATCAAGTAAGAGCCACAACAGTAAAGATCCTCCTTAGCAGGGGATCTAACAGGGGTGTTTCCATAGTAAAAATGTGAAAGACTGGAGGATCTAGCCATACTGACTGGGCTTGGCAGGAGGAAGTCTGTTCTACAGCTGTCTTCTCTTGTAAAGTTTGGCTTTCTTCTTCAACAGTGTCTGACACCAGGATCATGCCAATGGGAGAAGGAAATGTGAAAGTTGTAGCAGGTCCAGGTAGGAAAAATATCAAACTGTAAAAAAACAGTAGGGCAATGATTCAATCAGAGCGTTGGCTTTCAGGGAACGTAGTTCACAGGAATGTCTCTCTCTTTGCTGTGTACCTCTGTTTTCATACTCACAGTTGAGATATGAGGGCAAACCTGTGTCCCTGAAGTGCCAAATACCTGACAGACAACGCAAGGGATTGATATTTGTCAGGGAAAGCCTTTCTGCTGCTGCTTTTGCAGATTCAAAGTGCCTTTGCAGAAAGGAAGAATTGAGGCTTACTGATATGGCAAAGAATCATGAGAGTGCCATTTTGCCACTTGGGAAGAGACGGTCTTTGCAGTGACTACACACCAGTAGAACCAGTGAGCTGTTTATTCACTCACCAGCTTCCAGATTCCTTGTAGACATGTCTGAATAGTATCAGAGAAGTTTTTCTGGCAAAAGTAAAAACTGGTTAGAAGTAAGAGAAGCGTGTAGCAAGGGGACGTTGGAACCTGGCCAGCAAAAGGACACGTGAGAACAACCATTAGATGTTTGCACTGTTCACTAGAAGCGCTCACTGTTGTGGATGGCTCTTTTGCTTGAATCCACTTGAAAAAAAAAAAGAGAGAACACAAGCTATGGAAAATGGTTCATTGCAACTCAAATTCAAAGTATCTGCATTAAAGCAATTCCAGCCCAATGGCTCTAACGCACCCGCACCCTCCCCTACCTTCTCTGTGATTTAATAACCTCAGACTATCAGTCTTTCTGCTGTTGCTGTATAATCACATCACTCTAACAAAAAACAAATAAGAGCTGTGGCAGTTTATAATTATACTTTGTGTTTCTACAATACCTGCCAATAAGTGTCATATTACCAAGTCCTGAAGTGTCCCAAAACCCTGAAGCACAACCATACTTGGAATATAAGTTTTTTCTTTTTGAACCTGTGTCTAATTTTGGACCTTATTTGACCTGAAAATAAATGCTGAAAGAATGCAAACCTTGTTCTGCCAAAGTGCTCACCAACTGCACTTCTGTTAGTAAATTCACCCTACAAGGCTACAGCCCTTGTGAAGCACAGAAAAGGCTTCAGACTCTCCTTCCAGTACTTCAAATGGATGATAATACAGGCTAGCTGCCTGCTGTAGGACAAGCTGTCAACCGAGATGTCGAGATCCATACAGCTGTTTGTCATTGCAGGAACAGCCATAGACACAGATGACAGCCTCAAGCCTTCCTTGACAACAGAGGGGCCATCAAAAGTGCATCTGCCACCAACAGTATGGAAGCAGCCCAAGGACACCAAGGACTGGGCAGATGAATACATTTCCAAAGAGCAACCGGAGAGAGGGAAAGACATGGGTCAAAGCAGATACAGCTCAGCAGACAACATTATATGTGAACCCTCTTTGGCTGGTAAGGACAGAGTGGAAAACTCTGGCTAGAGAGGCTCAAAGCTGCCTTCACATCTGGTGCGAGCTGTTCAGCTTCTACAGAGAGAGACACACAAGCCAGTTTCTTCTGCTAGGGGGGAATGTCTCAGGGCCTCGGTCTCCAAGACTTCTGGCCTTTGTATTTGCTGGTCTGTGCCACTGACAGAATCGCTCTGCACTCAGGACACCCTTTCCAAGACCTGTCAAGTTCAGAGTACTGATGGGATTGTGACAGTGTAGTTGCTTAAGCGGGTGAAAAATACAACTTCTCATTCTGCAGGAAATGGGATGTGAATCCCGGCTATAAGTGGCTTGGCCTTTAATTGCTTGGTTTGTTATTCCTAGAAAAAAAAATAGTATTCATGGGGAAAACCCATTTGCTTTGGAGCTTTCTTAGCAAACTGTGGCTCTGCTCCTGTCTGGGGCCTGCTTTAGCATCAGGCTAGAATTTTATATTTTGGGGAAAGTAGACACACAAAGACAAGACATTGGTGTCACTTTTTGACAGTTTCTCCTTTCACAATTTAATATCAGATCACCAGTCTAACATGAAGCTGTCCTTGAGGTCAGCATTTCCTTATTTTTAAACTTAACCATTATCTTCTGGAAGCCAAAAGGCAGAATATCGCTTTGGAGCTGCTGGAGTCAGAAAGGAAATATGTTATCAACCTTTCCCTAATCCTGAAGATCAAGGCCACATTGCAAGGACCAGATGTGAAAAGGAGCACCAAAGAGAGAAGGTATTTGGATTTAGTTGCTCTTTGTTTTGGGGAGTTTTCTTCAGTCAATATTCTTTCTGCATCATCCTCTCTCCCAATTTTCTTTCATCCACAGAGATCTTTGAACACTTAGAGCTTACTTCTAGTTGAAAGGCAGGCACTGGAAGGGTTTTTTTTGCAGGGATTAAAGACTTTCCTGCCTGTCCTTGCATTTTGTCCACCTGACATCCCAAACCGTTTCACTACTACTTCATTTCAGTCTCTTTCTGAGTCTCATCACTCTCCTAGTCTTCTTTTGCATGCCTCGTGCCTGGGTGGGAACCAAGCTTTGAGCATTCACTGTCTGCTTCTCCCAGTCCACAGCTCCAGCTATGGAAGCTGCTGTGAGCATAAGCCCCTGGCTAGTGCTTGCCATCCATCAGGTATCGATATATACCCTGTGGCAGCTGGTTTAAGTTCCCAGGTTGGGATAGCTCCTGCAGCTCTCCCCACTCACTCAGCTTTCCCCTGGGAGTCCCCAGCCCCTAAGTGCATTTGGGGAGCCCAGTCCTTGTTAGTTCTCTTTTTTAGGCTCTTTCCACTGTCCCTAGGAGTCCCATATGCCAAGGAGTCATTTGAGAGAAGTCCACTGTGGGACATGTGGTACATGGGTTAATGTGGACTCGTTTAAGCAGCTACATGACACACACAGTTCAAACTGAAGCATGATAGTCCAAAGTGAGTTTTTATTTTTACTCTTTTTCTCTGGGACCTTTCCAGCTGGCAAAATATTTCAATATTTCACATCTTCATTCTGATTCTGGATGAAATGAGCATGAAATGACAGAAAGGCAGCAGCACATTTTGACCAGCTCTGCACCAAAGGGTTGTCTTGTTAAAGGACCTGACAAATGAGACAACATACAAAGCTGGGGAGCTCTCCTCCAAGTGCTCTATGGGATGGTTCAGGACCAATAAAAAGCCACTTGGGCTTTTTAGTTCTGCAGATTGTGGTCAGCTACACAATGCACTGGAAAGTCAGCTTAAGAAACCTTCAAAGCACTGTAATAATAGCCTACTGGAGAGGGTACCTGCACGTACACAGCAGCCAAAACAGGGCCTCCTGGCGCAGCCAGGACTTCAATAAAAGTCCTTTATAATACCTGAGTTTAAAGCAAGCCTGTGAACCCATGAACACACACTTCAGCAGCACATGCTTCGGGCTGAGCTTTTGCTCTGTGTAACCAGTCTGTCTCCCTGCAGTTTCTTCCCCAACTCTTTGCGGTACCTGGTCCAGCAGCATGTGGATTTACTTCACGCTCTACAGGAGCGAGTCCTGAGCTGGCCACGACAAGGGATCCTGGGAGACATCTTCCTGAAGTTAACAAATGATGAGGTATGTAACAGACCTCTCTGGACTCTCCTGCTCTGATTCATGATGTTGTGCTGATGGCCCACAGGTGGGCCAAGATACCTTGCAGCAGAGGGGCTGTGCTGTGAAGCTCTGGCTGGGGAAAGCCCTTCAGCCAGCCTCCTTTGAGCAGAGTCCCAGTGCACAGCAGCTCCTTTGTGGTAGTACTGGGTTGGTCAGGGACACCACATGCCAGCCCCACCTGGGGGCAGGCAGCCATGTAGCACAGCCCTGTAATAAATGCAGGAGACCTAGACTTGGTTGCAGGAGCCACACATGAGCCTTGACAGCTTGGATGTCTGTGTTGACAGTGAGGGTGTGAAAAGAGTGTGTTTCTTATGCTCCCCTTCCCCAATACACTTTGCTCAGAGTTATGACAAGCAGGTGGGCAGGCTCCTTATGCTATATGGTTTGGAACCCCAAGTGAAACAGCACCTCCTTCTCAGGGTGAAGGTCTGCCCAACCCCTAGCAAGCAGTGGGACTTCTCCTGGAAGGATGTGTAAAAACTCATCTGATGCTTTATAAATTTAATTAAGAGTCTTAAATAAGAAAAGCTTCTTCCTCCCCAGCCTCTCCACCCTTCCCATCTGCTAGAAAGCTTTATATACACTGAACACATTTTATTAAACAGCCTTTCTTGAGAAGTCCCAAGCTTTGAAAGCTTCACACAGTTAGCAGTTCTGCTGAACTGATGAGCTCCCAGGAGTGATGGTGGGGAATCAACACTTTCTCACACTGGCTGGTTCTATGAGCAAAAATATCTCTTAACTTTCTTTGTTCTTTTCTTTTTACCTTTTGCAAGAATAATTTTCTGGACTACTATGTTGCTTACCTGAGGGACCTGCCAGAATGCATCTCTCTGATCCACGTGGTGATCCTGAAGGAGGTAAACTTCCTGCCTGCTTCACAGACATGTAATGGCCACATGTAAGCCTGGATCTCTTCCTGTTATGCCTGCCCACGATAGGACTCTTCTGCCAATGCACTTGTTCTGTTACCAAATGCCAGTTTCCTGAACGTTGCCATGGCTGATGTGCACCTACAAAAGGCAGCTTTAATGTGTTCATCATGGTGTGTAACC